GGGGGGGGGGGGGGGCTGCACTAGTCCCTCTGCTGAGTCTTTGAAATCCAGTTGCCTGTGCTCTCCTCCCAGGGATTCACAATCCACAAGTGATTTCTGGCCACAGATACAGGCATTTCCTGTGCCCACGCCACCCTCCAGGCACCCACTTGCCCACATGCCTCCCATCCGCACAGGTCCTCATGCGGGTGTCTACACGGACTCAGGCACCATGAAGATGATGTCACCCCCGCCGAGGGTGACCAGGGCAGATAGCCTGAGCCACAGCTGCTCCCAGGCTCCAGTGAGAGGCCCTCCCCCAGCTGGCTGCACCCCCCACCTCCACGCCCACCCTGCTCCGCCCTCCTGGGGTCTGAGGGACAGTTTAACAAAGAGACTCCCAGTAAGCAGGATAGTAACAGGAATCAGCATTTCCAGTCTGCAAGTCTTTCTCCTCTAATCCCTCACTTGACACTGATGAGCTCCCAGAGGCGGGTAGTTTTGTGTTTCCAATTCTCAGGTACAGCGGAGGGTCAGACTGCTAGTTAGGGGGAGGGCCAGGGCCCTAACCGCCTTTTCTGGCCCTCTCCGGTAACGCGCCGTCTCCTGCACGGTAAATAAAGACGACACCTCCTTGTCAGCGCGCCAAAGCACCTGTTCTTGCCTAGATCCGGGGAGCACTTGATGAATGTCCGTTTCTACCTCACAGCGGCCCCGCAAAGTGCATTTTTTTGGTGCCCAGTGCAAAGATGAGGTAACAGAGAAGTTCGGAGCAGAATGCCAGTCGAAGGAACATTCCTGAACTAGATGCACATCGCTTTAGAAAACTCCGTAGGAAGGAAGAGGGCAAGAGCTTCTAATGGGTGCTTTAGGGACTTCGGGTGCCTGGGGTAACGGGTGCGTCTTCCTTCTCCACCTGCCTGTCAAGCCCTTTTCCCATTACTGTGAGCTGTTTCCATTGCTCTGTGCGTGTGCGTCTGTCTCCCAAGAGCTGTGAGCTCCCCAAGGACAGTGACTGGGTCCTGGTCACCCCCAGAGCCCAGCACCCAGCACCTTGCCTGGCACACAGGAAGGGCCCAGTCAACACTGCCTCCATCATGAGGACGGGGGGGGGGGGGGACAGCCTGCGCTCCCAGGCTCCCCACTGATGGGCCTGGGAAACAGAAGACGGAATCAAGACACCCAGGGCTCGAAGGTCACCCACGTCCTGTGCCACCTAAGGTGTGAACCCCTCTTCTAGCACCCCTCATTACCTCTTCCCTGGCTTCTGCTTGCATGCTGCTAGTGACAGGGTGCTCACTACTACTCAGGCAGCAGCTTACATGTTGGAGATCTTAGGGTGATTGTTACCAAATCCCTCCTCCCTCCTGTTACCAAATATATACACACATATATATACATATATATGTATATGCTGTATAGATATACATATACTATGTATATATATATACACAAAGTATACATATACTGTAATATATACAGTATACATATATTATACACATATATATATACACATATATGTATATACTGTATACATACACTATATATATAGACTATATATATATATACACAGTATACATATACATATATACACAGTATACATATACATATATACATAGTATATACATTATTTACATAATATATACAGTATACATATACTATACATATATACAGTATACATATACTATACATATATGTATATACATATATATATACATACATATATATAAACATACATATATATATATATATATATATATATATACACACACACCGGGGCAGCACTAGAAGTGTGTCCATGTCAAGAGAGGACACTCAGAGGTGACACTACACCCTAGCAAGGCAGGTGCCCTCCCTGTAGCAACCCAGAGCCTTGCATGCTGGGAAGAAGAGGCAACGAATGAACTCCTCATCCCAGCTTGAGCCAGCTCTGTTAAGGCAGAAAGTCGAGGCTCAGTTGTTGGAAAGATTACTATTGAGCCTCAACTCAGGTGGACCTTGGGTCTGTACTTCACCCAGCACACTCAGGGGCTCTCCCGACCTGTAGTTCTATCCATTCATTCACTCCCTTATCTATTCATTATCAGCTGTTGCTGGCTGGGTGTTTGGGCTGGGAGTGGGGACAGTGGCACTGAGGGCCACAGAGGCAGCTCAGGATCAGAGTCGCTGCCTTGGTAAAATCAGGACAGCTCATGGTCACTGAGACTCTCTATAAACCAGGCCCTGTTCCATTTGCTTTCGTGTAAAAGGCACGGCCTCTCCTGCCCAGTCCTAGCTGTGGGGAGAGCAGGCGGGAGTCTGCTTGGCAAACAGTTAGTGCTCAATAAGTGTGCGCTGCTGCTGTTCCACACTACCGGGGCAGTTCCTACTCTTGGTCACTCCCACTTTGTAGGCAGAGGAAATAAGCCACGTGGAGGTTAAGTAACTTGCCAAATGGCTGAGCCGGGGTTCAAACCGGCAGTCTAGTCCCAGAGCCTGCTTGATTAACCCTTCAGGACCTGGTGCTGAAAGAGCTCGGAACCTGGAGTCAAAGTGCCCAACTAGCTAGAGACCAGGGGCAACCACTCACCTCTGTCTGCTCTGTTTACTCATCTCATGAAATGGAATGTGTCATCAGCCTTGCCTCTGTCCCCACCCCCACTCCCATCAGATTAGAAGAGATGCAGGCATTTTTCTTAGAAGGAGGCTGCAAGGCGGTGAGATTTGGGGTGGGAGGCACGTTACTGGTCACAGGGGTTTGAAATGAGCCAGAAATGGGGGGGGGGCGTCGTTTGTTGGAGCTCCATTCCTAAAGGCTGACAGGCTCCCAGAGACCCCCAAACCACCCCATCACCCTCCCTCACCCCCACAGGATGTGCGACACCTGTGTCCCCCCCGCCAGTGTCCAGGAGCCCCAGATAAGAGCTTAGTCCCCTGACAGTGCAGTTTACAGCAACATCGCCGAGGCCGGGTCTTAGGATGAAGAAGGTGGATGGGATGGGCGTCATTTGGAGAGGGAGAGAAGGGGGAGGGGTCTAGGCTGGAAGCCCAAATCAGAAGCCGAGGACCTTCATCTGTAAAATGGGATTCATCACGCCGCCCTCATAGGCTGTTGCGAGAATCGGTTGAGTTGATGCTTGTAACTCCTCGCGCACACGGTGCCTGGCACGGAGCGCGCGCTCAGCAGATGGTGACCATTGTTAGTATTCCCTCCACACTTGGGTATCCACCAGCCAAAGCAGTCCCTTCCATTTTAGACCCTGGCCTAGGCCCCAGGGGATACCCCAAGGATATTGAAGACAGCGTGGTTTGCCAACCTATGGGGGTGTCGATAGTCTCACGAAAGGGGCGCGTCTTCAGAACTTGCCAAAAAAAAGTCTTCCTGGGCGCCGCGGGCCCTCGGCTTTGACTCTCCAGCGCCTTCTGCCGGGGCGTGAGCGCGCCCCCAACAGGCAGTCCCTGGGAAAGCCTCGGCGGGGGAGCCCCGGAGCCCAGTCGCCCCAACCCCTCTCCCCCTCCCGCCCGGCGGCCACCCTCGGGGGCGAGGCAGCCGGCGCGTGGGAGGGGACGGCGCGCCATTGGCTTGCGCGCGGGACCGAGAGGAGGGACCAGCGCGGGCCGCCAGACTCGGGTAAACCCCGGCGGCGCAGGACGCCGTGCGCAGTCCCGGCCGGCCCTGCCCTGCCCTGCCCTGCCCCGCGCGGGCGGCGCGATGTGAGGCTCCCGAGGGCCCGAGCGTCCCCCGGCTCGCCAGCCCCGCGCAGCGCCGGCGCCAGCATGCGCTAGGAACGTAAGTTCTGTTCCCCGCCGCCGCCTCCGAGCCCCGCACGCTCCCCTCCCGCCGCCGGCCGGTGCCTGCGCAGCGCAGCCCAGCCCAGCGGGGCGTCTGCGGCCGCAGGGTCGTGGGGACCCCGGGCGCGCGACCTGGACGTCCCAGGACCCTTTGGCCCCGGGCAGGTTCTGCCGGGACTCCAGGGGTCCCCTCCCGGACCCCCTCAAGGCGCAGTCCCCCAGCTCCTTCGGTTCCTTCCCTTGGCGCTCTTCACTCGCCGCCCTTCCCTGTGCCTCGGTTTCCCTCTCCCCCCTGGCTTTCTCGCTCCGATGTCTCTGCTCTGTTGGACTGTTTATGTCGCCCTTACCTCCCCACTGTGCTTTGGAGCAAGAGAGAAAGAGCGAACAGCAGTTTCTGTCTCCCTGGGGTCTGACTGTTGTCCCCGCGCTCGGTTCTCTGTCCCCTCCCCCCCATCGCCATTGTTCCCTGGTCCGAGGAGTGCGCGGCACAAACTTGCGAGTGCCCCTCCTTCTGCCTTCGCCCCCGCAGGGCCGCTGATCGCGGTGGCGGAGTTCCCGCTGGCCGGACCTACTGGCTCGGCCGGCCGTGGGGGCGCCCAGCAGCCCGGAGCTCCCCGCCTGGGGTCCCCAGCTCTCAGGCCCGGGTCTCAGAAAGTGGGTGAGCGTCTGGAGCTAGAAGATAAAGGACACGTTGGAGGAGGAAGGAGCCAGACTGGGAGAGACCCCCGTCTCCGGGCCGGGGAGGTAGGTAGGGGTGGGGGGTGGGGGGTGAAGGAGGAGGAGGCGGAAACCCAAGCCGCGCCTAAGCCCCAGTTGTTGGGTGGGAGGGTCGGGAAAGCGCAGGTGGAGACGACGCCCCCCAGCCTCCCCTAAGTCGCGCGCTCAGCAGGAAGGGGGCAGTGTGGGGCCATTGGCCTGACTCTGCGTGGGCTGGGGCTCCCTGACGTGGACACAATACTCACACCCACCCAGGGCGGGGGTCTGCTGAGGAACCGCCGGAACCCCGCGCGCATCCCCGGCGCGCCCCGCAGTCTCCGGCGCTGGCTTTGCGTCTCCTCGCCCCGCACTCCCCGCCCCCACCCAGTCCCGGGCTCCCGCCGCCCCCTCGCGGCCCCGGGGAGGGGGCGGTGGGGGCGAGTTTCTCCGCAGGAGCTGGGTGGGCGGGGGCAGGAGCAGGGCTGAGGCCGGAACGCCGCGGCTCCTCCAAAGCCCCGCGCTGATGGCCGAGGCCGACTTGGCGTCCCACCACTGCCCCGCGCGTCCTGGTTGATTTCCTTCAGACAAACTTTTCCTGGTGGGGGAGTCCCGCGGGGAGAGCGCATCTTGGCCGCAGGGATGCCCACCCCGGCTGTGCGGCCTCTTGAACTTACACGTGTGGTGGCCTGAGTGGAGAAGGCCACAGGCCTGTGCAGACCCTCTCTTCGAGCGCAGGGACACGGAGTGGGCTGAGTTGGGGGCGGGACCACGGGGGCCAGGAGCGGACGCTGCATTCCCTAGCGGAAGCCTCACACTAAGCCCAGGAGGAGGAAAGGTGTTTCTTGTTGGGTTGTTAGGAAAAAAGGCACTGTGTATTCTCCAGGTCTCTGTTATCCCATCTATAAAATGGGCTCTCTAGTCCCTGAGGTCCCCTCTGGCTACTGTACCCAGGAACCAGCTGCCCTGGCTTCAGTTTTTGGCCCACATTCTGTAGGTTTTATCAGTCCTTCCAGATTTGGAGGGAGGGCTGAGTGAGGCCCAAAGTGCAGTAACTTTTCCAACTCTGTACTCATCTTAGCATAACCCTCCAGCCCCTCTGGAGAAAGGCCTGCCCCTCACAGGCGTGCCTGGCAATGAAATTAGCAGTGACCCCTGGTGTACACAGTTCTAGTCTCTTCTTTACTTTTCACTTATTGAACAAATTGTTGGTGGGCCCTACACCAACGGCGATTTAGTGAGCCAAGTGCAGACACAGTTCCAGGCACTGAGAGATAGCTGAGAACAAAATGAAGATTTTCTCCCTCACGGCGCTGACACTTAAAAGGGTAGAGGGACAAATAATAAAATAAATTATATAGCTTATGAAGGGGGAAAAGTTGAGTGTCAGGGGCTGTTGAGGCCAGGGGTGGTCAAGGAGGCCTCCCGGAGGAGGTGACTTGTGTGCCAAGGCTTCGAAAAACCGAACTGTGGGAATAGCTTGGGGGAGATCAAGAGCCTGCTCAGATCAGCCTGTGCAAAGGCCCTGAGGCTGGAATGTGCCTGAGAGCCAGTAAGGAGCCAGGGTGGCTAGGGTGGAGTGAGGGGGTGGGGAAGAGATGGGAGGCAAGGTTGGCTGGAAAGGAATGAAGCCTGTCTGTTTCACAGAGGAGGGAAGTGATGCTCGGAGGGAGCATGTAAGTTACCCCAGGACATGAAGCGGTGGCAACAGGGCCGGGTGCGTTATGTGCTCACTCCTGGCCTGTAACATTTTCATGTCACCCCTCAGCTCAGCTACTCTTTGGCCACATTGGCTTGTGGCCCTGCCAGAGCCAGGCCTGGCCAAGAGCTGGAAACGTGGAGGGGAGCCCCCCCCCCGGGCTTAGTACTTCTTGGGGTCCCATACCCCGGCAATCGTTGCCAACCCCCTCCCCACGTTCTCCCTGCCCGGCTGTCGTGAGTGCCTCCCAGCATCATCTTCCTCCGGACCTGCGAGACCCAGTTCTCTTCCCATTTCCTTCTTTGGCCATCCCCGGTAAACACCGCATCCTGTATCCACATGTAGCCCCTTGAAGGGGACCGTTCTGAAGCTGGTATGATGAAGGGAGAAACTGAGGCAAAGAAGCGGAGTCTCTTAGCCTGAGAATAACAGCAGCAACGTTGTCACTGAGCTTTCACTGTGAAACAGGTACTGTTCTAGGTGTTTTTGTGCATCTCCTCATCAGTGGATGGTAGTGGCATTATTGCACCCATTTAACAGATGAGGAAACAGAGGCCTGGATAGGTGGTGTCACTGGCCCAAGGCCATGCAGGTACACGAGCCTTTGGAGTCTTAACCTATTCCTTTGATCACTAAGCCAGAGCCCCGAACGCAGGGGGAGAAGGTCAGTCCCGGCTGGCCCCTCAGCGTCCTGGGAAGAGTACAGGGACCCTCTGCTGCCTTCCCCAACCCACCCGGAGGGCAGATCACCTATTGCTGCCAGAGAAGTTGTTATCCTTGCAAGGAAGCTCCTTTTGCCCTCCTGGTTGGGGGTGGGGGGAGCGGTAGGGGGATTGACATCTGTCCACTGCCCCCTCACAAGACTCTGGCCACGTCACAACCGGAAGCCAGGCTGTCCCCATGATCATGGCCCCATGGGACCCGGACTTGCCTTCGAGGGCCCTGACGCGGCCACCAGGCTGTCGGGAGGCAGGCCCATTCCCGGCTTGAAAAGGACAGAAATTCCCCACGCGCTCTGCCCTTTGTGAGTGATGACGGTCGGGGACGGGGAAGACCCTGTCGGCCACCTGCGAGTGACGATGGATGGCGGTCAGGGGCTGAGTCCCCCTTGCACACAGCAGCGGTCTCAGAGCCAGGGGTGAGGCGCAGCGATGCCCATCCTCGTCCCCGGCTCTCCCACCCTTTCCAACACCGCAGGGAAAGTTTATTTTGTTTTACTTTTTTGTCCCTGAAGATTTGGAGATATTTGTTTATGATGCAAGTTCGGGCTTCCCTCTGCTGTTCTGGAAATCAGGCACCTTCAAAACAGAGAGAACTCGTAGATAAAACATGCGTGTCCCCGGAGGCCACCGGGCAGCTGGGGCTTGGTGTGCTGCTGGCGTGTGGATTTAGAAGCCGGATCCCGGCTCTCGCAGCCTTGGGGGCGGGGGGTGCGGCCACACTCCCGGTTCTTTAATTTTCTAAAACGAAGACACTGAACCTCCCAAGAGGGCCCTGGCTTTCCCGCGGTGGCTGACTCTCCGGTGACCTCAGCTGTCCTGTCTCCCCGCAGTGACTCAGGGCTTGGCTGCCAGCTCCCACGTTCCTGGAGGTTCCTGGAAACGGGATGTGGAATCCCTTTCTTGACTCAGGAGCTGGGCTGTCGCCCCGGCGGGATGTGCATCGCGCTCTGTCCCCTCCTCTGCTAGTTCTACCTGTCACCCTGCCCCTTGCATTGGCGCTGAGCCCGGAGGTGACGCGGGACTCTCGAAGAGATGATACAGCCCTGCGCCTGGCTGGCTCCCCATCCACTCGCCAGTGTGGCAGGCTCGGGAGGGCTGGGGCCTTAGAATAACTACACTCTAGAGGGGTGGGCCACACCGGGGCCCGCAGGACCGAACCTGCCCCTTGGGAGCCCTGGGGGTGACATCAGTGAGTAGCTGCATCAGTCCAGCCCCCTTGGTGTCCCGTGACTGCTTCGCTTTGCTGTAGCTTTGCCGACAACCTAGTGCATCGGGCTTTATGACCCCCACTCACCGTGCAGGATGGTTAATCCGCTCCAAGGCCTGGGGCTGGTAATGAACATGAGTCGTCCTTCGGCCACAGCCCTCTCCCCGACAGTCCTGAAGATGTGAGATTCACTCTGCCTGCGGGCCCAGGCTGGGGGCGTCTGGGATCTTTAGACCCCATCTTGGCCGAGGGGCGATGGGCTGCCCCAGGACGGGGCGATGGGGTGAATAATGGAGGGCCTAGCCTCCGTGGCCTCCTTGCTTGGGCTCTGCCTTCACCTCCACTTCTCTCTGAGCAGGACCCGGAGGCTCTGTGCCTCACTGTCCCCTCCCCTGGCACTGCCCTGTCCCAGACCCTGTCCCAGCTATTTTCCACCAGTGTGGTAACAGAACACTGGGCCTCCCCGCCACCCTTTCCCGGTCCCGTGGAGCCACAGGGCCTTTGCCTGAGGGAGGCTGGACCCCAGGAAGGAAAGATTAGTTCTTCGTAGAGGTCAGGTTCACCAGACATCACCACTACCCCTGCGCCCACTCCCCCCCCACCCCCGCCTCCTCTCAGGATGTCTATCTGAAGAGCCATACCTTGGTTCACATTTCAGCCCTGCCACGTACGCTGAGAAGCTTGAATAAGTCACGTGGGCCTTAGTTTCCTCATCTGTAGAATGGGGGTGACCATACAGCCCTTCTCCTAAGGCTGTCATGGGGGCTGCGGACAATTCCCGGTCTGGAAGTACTCACCCGTCCCTGCCCCCACCCCTGGGGCGGATGCACTTGGGGGCATTTCCTACCAGATGGGGAGGGACAGGTGTACCGTCCCTCCAGCAGAGGATCTTGTTCGAAAAGTGAGTAGTTCTTGGCTCTGATGCTCAGCCACAGGGATTCCCCGCCAGATCCCTGGGGGGCTCAGCAGCTGGTGGGTGTTCTGGGCCCCAGGCCCCCTTCCTCTCCTCTCCTGTCCCTCTGCTGGTCAGGCTTCTAACCCAGCCCTCATGGGTGCAGTCTCTGTGCCAGAGACAGCTCTGCAGCCTGGCCGTTTCTATGGAAACCAGGCAGCCATAGCGGGGTGGGGAGAGGTCCTTTAGGACCAGCAGGGGAGTGAGGCCCCGGCCCCACCTGACCTGCCGCCCCGTGGGCAGTGTCGTTAACTGCTGTCCTGTACGGAGCACACAGCCCGTGCCCAGCCCCCACCGCCTCCCTCAGTGTCTCATCGCGCCCTGGGAGCTAAAAAGTGGTTGCCTGTTTTCACCAGGGACGAGATGGAAGCTCAGAGCGGTCAGGGAACTTTCCTGAGGTCACAGACGAGTTAGAGAAAGAGTGGAGGCTTTAGCCCAAGTTTGCCTGATGGTTAAGTGTATACCCGCTCCCCCGCCCCCTTCTCCCCTGACAAGCCTGTCCCTTCCTGGCCTCTGTGTCATCATGACCTCTCTTACTGCCACCGGGAGCTGTCAGGGGCGCTCCTCTGGCCCCAAGGCGTCTCTGCACTGGATGGGCGGGGGGTGGGGGGGTGGGGGGGGTGGCAGGAAGTCAACCTCGGCCAGCAGTGGGGGCTCTCAACCCTTCCCCACGTGGTCACAAATACTCGCTGAGCACCGCACATGCTGGAAGGGCCCCAGTCTCAGCCAGGAAGACCTACAGAACTCCTGCCGTGCGCCAGCCTTCCAGTGATGGCTGCTTCCCCCCTGTCCTGGCCCTCGCCATTTCCTGGCCCCCCCCACTCCGTGCCAGGCCCTTCGCCAAGACATTTGTACCCACTCTCCTGTGTCCTCAGCACCCTGGACCCGCTTGTCCGAGGCCACCAGCCAGTCAGATACGAACCCAGGCCTGCCTGACGGTGGAGCCCCTTTCCTGTGGTCTGCGAGCAGCTCCTGTGTGGCCCGAGGCAGACCCTGCCCTCTCTGGACCTCAGCTTTCTGACCTGTCCGCTGTGTGTTGGGAACACAGCCTCCCTCGGGCCCTGCCACATCTAACTGAGTGTGATCTTGGGTGCTCTGGGCGGTTCGAGAGGCATGCCTGCCCTGTCCCCACTGTCACTCGCCCGTGCTGGCCCAGCGCCTACCTCGGGCCGAGGCCCAGTGGGGAGATTCTTGAACCACATAACAGCCCTGCCTTCGGAGCCCTGGGTCTCCGGGACCCCAAGTGCCCACCATGTGACTAGGCGTCTGGGCTACAAGTGGCCAGTGGTCGCCCACACTGGGACCCATGGGAGTCCGGGGGAAGGAGGGAGGGGCTGTGTCCTGGGAAGGCTGCCTGGAGGAGGGGCCATGCAGCTCAAAAGAACCAGGAGTGTCGAGGGGCCAGATCAGAGGGCAGGGAGGACCCTCCTGGGGGCTGTCGTTCTGGCTTTATTGGGAACTGAAGCCAGAGAGGCCAGCCAGGGGTGGGGTCCAGAGGGTGCTGGCCTGTTCCTTGCTGGCTGGTCCTCCTCCATGCGCCCCTTCCCTCGGCCTCCCCCGCAGCCTGGCCTCACCTGGGGGAAGCCCTGGGGCCTTTCCGAAGGCAGCTGCTCTAGAAAGGAAGCTCCCGCCCTATGGGCAGGCTTTTTCCATTGTGCACGGCTGAATGGCCAAGGAAGAAAGGGAAGTGGGAGCGTGGGGGGCAGGGCACTTTGCCCCAGGCCCCGCCCGTGCCGCTCCCTTACCCTCCAGCACTGCACAGTGAGAATGTTCTCATTACCCCCATTTCCTGGGGGCAGAAACTGAGGCCAGCGAGCTGCCCAAAGCCCTACAGCAGGTAAGGGGGCAGAATCCGGATTCGAACGCACATCTGGGTCAGCCGTGGTGCAGGGAGTGGAGCAAAGGAAGGTGCCCTCTGTCCTCACTTAGGTTGAAATGAGACCAGGCTGGGGCTGCCTGGGGGGCTCGGTCGGTTAAGCCTCTGACTGTTGATTGTGGCCCAGGTCATGATCTCCTGGTTTGTGGGATCGATCCCTGTGTCGGGCACCGTGCTGATAGCACGGAGCCTGCTTGGGATTTTCTCTCTCTCCCTCTCACCCTGCCTCTCTCTCTCTCTCTCAAAAGAAATAAACATTAAAAAAAAAAATGAGGCCAGGCTGAAAACACCTGGAGTGGGAAGGGAGGCAAGTTCAAGGGCAGATCTGAGGGGGGGCGGCATAGGAAGGAGTGGTTTGCCTTGGCCGCAGGGCATATGGAGGGGCGGTGGGTCTATGGGAGTGAGGCAGCTGTCCCCCGGCCCTCCCCGGGCAGGGCCCTGTGCTGTGGGTGAAGAAGGGACAGAACTCAGTGCTCAGAGGGGTTAGCTGTGCAGAGGCGGGTGCAAGGGATCCCCCTCTCTGGAGATTTCCCTCTCCCGGGAGGCCCTTGGGCCTGTTGCTGGTGGTGAGCTCCTTGCTGGGGGGCTGGGCTCCTGGGGAGGCCACAGCGGGGCCCACCAGCCCAGGTACCCGATGATGGTGCCTGTGGATAAAGCCTGTCCCACCCAAGAGCGGTGCTGATGTCCAACGGAGCCCAGGACCCCGGAGTCCCCTTTCTGTACCCAGTCCCTGCGGGCTGGCACGGCCACACCCCACAGCCTCTGCTCCATGGGTTCAGGCCTGGAGCGCAGAGGGAAGTGCTGTGTACGTGTTGGTGGCGAGGGGTCACCGGGCGGAGGAGGGCAGCTGATGGCCTGAGCTGGGGTCGCTGACACAGCCCTGGCCTGGTGGGCTTGGTCTGAGTGCCAGCCTTATGCCATGGGCTGAGATCTGTTGGTAACCGTCAGACTCTGCAAATGGCCCCGCGGTCCTCCAGCGAGTGACTGGCTCGATGCACTGTCCGTCTGTCCCGTGGAGTGTTACTGGGCCACAGAGAGGGACAGGCAGCTGAAGGGCCAGCAGCCCGATGACTCTGAGAGGCAGGCCGTTCACGGCACTGAGTGAAGCAGCCGGTCTCTCACGGTTCTCGTCCATATGATTCTATTTACGTAGCATCGTGGGAAAAAGACAGACAAAGCCAGGGTGCCGGCCAACAGATGGGTGGTGGCCTGGGGCTCGGGGTTGAGGGGACGCTGTACCCGGAGCAGGTGTCCTGATTTGCAGGTGGTAGTTACACGAATCTACAGTGTCCCGAAATGTGTGGGACTGCAAACAAACAAAAAAGTCAGTTCTGCAGTATGTAAATTAAAGAAAGAAAGGCTAGAGGGGAGGCCGGAAGAGGAAGGAGGGGTGAGGGCCGGGCCACCCGGTGTTTCCTTTGCTGAGGACCGGTGAGGGGGGGGCGAGCCCCAGCTGCCACCAGCAGTGGCTGGCTGCCTCTTGCAGGCTCTCTCGAGTGGGTCCGCCTGGGAGTGGGAGGGACACCCACTGACTGTGGTCTCTGGAGTCATGAGGAGTGGCGGCCGGTGCTGAGGTGTGGGGACAGCGCCGCGCCCTGAGGAATAGTGTGCTTGAACCCTGCCTTCTCCGTGGGGCTGGCCACCTCCCCCCAAGGTGGCCTTCCTGGCCACCTCCGCATACCTCCCCTACGTCAGGGTGAGTGTGTGGGGAGGGGACGGTGCAGCTACAAAGGCTGGGGGGTTGGGCGGGCCCTTGGCCTTGAACATCACTCACTGGAGACCGTCAATACCAACTGGCATGGTTAATTCCAAACTTGAGGCTGCTTAGCTACTTCCCTGCTGTACCCCAGTCTAAAGCCGCACCACCCACACGCCCACAGTTGCATTCTCTGTTCTGATGTCGATTTGTCGGGGTGCTTTATTTTCTTGTAAGATGCTGGGAGGCTGGAAAACCAGAGGTGACTCCAGGGCATCTCTGCCTCTGGCTGCCCTGACCGGGGCTTGGAGGGCGAGACTTGGCAGGCGTCACACCCCCAAGCTGGCAGCCAGCCGGGCTGGGACCCAGGTCTGAGGCCCCGTGGGCAAGGTCCAGCAAGCCCAGCAGGGGGGATAGGCAATGTCTGTGAATGAAGGTAGTTCTCCGGCCTTGCCAGAGGGTAGTGGGGCTGGACTGAGATGCTGGAACACGCCACGCAGCGGGGTGGGGGCTAATGGAGTGACTCAACTCTGTTGGACTTGATTTCCTCATCTGTAGAATGGGTGTAAATAGTTGCCGTGACACGCTGGCTGTTCCCAGCCCAGTGCCAGCCTTTGGAAGCCTTTGCCTCACCGGTGTCTACACTTTTATCTCCTTTGCATAGGTGTTGTGCTGATTGAAGGGAAGGACCAGCAGTCAGCTCATCTCTGTGTCTCCCAGACCCGTGCCAGGCACACAGTAGGTGCTCAGGACCTGGGCCTGGGTGGGGGTGGGGCCTGTGGAGGATCATGAGCAGACCCGGGGAGGGGACGAGGCTGGCAGGGGGTGCCCCCAGCAGGGAGGGGCACCGGCCTTCTGCCAGCTGTCCTGGCCGTCCTTCCCCTGGCTCCGATGGGTCCTGGGGTCACCCTGCTCCCCTCTTCCAACCCAGTTTGAGGGAGGTTGTCCCGGAGACAGGAAGGGAATCTTGCTGGGCAGAGGGATGGTCAGGGCAAAAGTTCGGTGGGGGACCTGGACCCCATCTCTCAGCCAGATCATCCCTCTTTTGGCAAGACTGGCCCAGACTCCTGATTGTCCCCCCTTCCTCCCCCACCACCACCAACCTTTGGACGTTGGTCTCCATCTGGGCCCGAACGCCCTTCCTCCAGGGCCGACTGAAAGGCATCTGGCCTGGTTCCCTGAGGTGTATCATGTCCCTGGAGGCCCTATAGGCTCACAGAGCTGGAAGGGCTTTAGGAACACGCTCCCCCACCCATTTTATAGACGAGGAAGCTGAAGCTGGAAGGGGGAGAGACCCCTCACACAGCCAGGTGCTAAGCCAGGGCCCTCAGATTTCTTGTGGGTGTTCCACCTGCCCCCACGCCGACAGGGTGACCTCTCCGGGCCCTCAGGTCCCGTGTGGTTGCCCCTGACGTCTGGAAGCTGGGCAGGGCCTGTGGCTGAGGCTGGGGTCTCCCCTTGGCTCCAGGACAGGATGGCGGCCAAGCAGCCCCCACCTCTCATGAAGAAGCACAGCCAGACGGACCTCGTGAGCCGCCTGAAGACCCGCAAGATCCTTGGCGTGGGCGGGGAGGATGACGACGGGGAGGTGCATCGCTCCAAGGTGGGCCCGGGGCCTTCCACTGGCCGCGCCCAGGGGTCCACCTCGACCCCCAGCTGGGAGGCAGGTTCTGCCTGCCTGGCGTCTGGGAGAAGAGCAGCTTGGCCTGTGTTGCTGCAGGAGCCCCAGGACTTGGCTCATTTTTTTTTTCTAGGAACTTAATGGAGATGTCAGGGGAATAATAACAAAAACGAAGACAGATCGTTAGAATGAATTTCGTGCTTATTATGTGCCCGTTACCACAACAGTTGCTTTACAAGTATTGTTTAAGCCCGTTAAGTCCTGGGAGATACTTACTGATACATTTTATAGATAAGGACACTGAGGCTCAGAGTGGTCCAGGACTTGCCCAAGGCCGTGCCCATAAGTGTCAGAGCCAGGCTTCGAGCCCGTGTCTAGCAGACCCCTGAGCTTTTATTCTTACCCAGTGTATTTTCAACTCCCTGTAAACTCTGGTGTCAAGAAGAGGCAGGGGTTGGGGGTATGGTCTTAGTGTGACCTTCCAAGCCTGGGTGACCTTTTGGCTAAGCAGAAGTGCCCAGGTGGGTCCCCAGGATGCCAGGGGGCTCCGGGAGGGGAGCGGGTGGGCCGGGAGTGCCCCCTGACCCCGGTCTGTCCACAGATCAGCCAGGTCCTGGGCAATGAAATCAAGTTTGCCGTTCGGGAGCCTCTGGGGCTGAGGTGAGCACTTGCGTGTGAGTTCTGGCACTGGCGGGCTTGTGGGGGAGGGCTGCTTGAGCCCCTCTGTCCACGTGCCTGAGGTGGCGTCCCGTCCCCCCGACTCCAGCCATCCCTGGACACCTTGGCTGGAGAGGGGAGGGTCCCCTGGGGCCTGGACATGGCAGCGAGGGGCCTGCCTGTGACCCGTCTCTCCATTTGTCCCCAGGGTCTGGCAGTTTGCTTCTGCTGTGCTCTTCTCCGGCATTGCCATCATGGTGAGCCCCCACCCTTGGCCCTGGCTCTGGCTGCCTGTGTCCTGCTCCCTCCACAGCCCCAGCTCCGGACACTCATCCAGCCTGTACCCAGCCTGCTCTGGAGCACACTAGGTCCCTCCTTGTCCCCCGGGAATCCAGAGCCTTCTGTCCCGGCACGGAAGGCTGGGGGACTGTCAAGGTTCTGGCAATGGACTGCCCCAGGAAACTCAGCCCTGCTTCTGGGGGGAAGGAAGGACATGTCCGGGGGATGTTTCAACAGCGACCCCCACCAGCTTCACCCTGGACTTCCCACCCGTGTCCACAGGCCCTCGCCTTCCCTGACCAGCTCTATGATGCGGTCTTTGATGGGGCCCAGGTGACCAGCAAGACCCCCATCCGCCTCTATGGAGGGGCCCTCCTCAGTGAGTACTGCTAGGGCAGATGCTGGAGACCACCAGGGACCAAGAAGGGCACAGGGGAGCCTTTGTGCAGGGGTTCACCTTCTCGGCAACCCCCCTCCCTCCCCTTCCACTGAGGAGTCTGTGTCGGCTGGGTGTGTGCTGCCATCTAGTGGCCACTGCTGGAATGGACCCAGAGGACCAAGGCAAACACTGGGTGCTTACTGTGTGTAGCCGACACCTGGTCATCCCGGTACAGAGATGAATGAGGCTTGGGCTCTGCCCTCCAGGACCTCACAGCCTAGAGGAGGAGACACGAGCAACATGGTGTCTGCAAAACCCCTCCCACCCCTGGGCCTCTTATCGGAACCATTCTGTTTCCTGTCTAATCTGTCACACCCAGTGCCTAGTGGGAAGCTGAATCACAGCTTTTAACGCCTAGCACAGTAGTGTCCCTCCTCTTCTCTAAAACATTCGATGGCTCCCTTTGCCTTCAGAATAAAGGTCCAGCCCCTCCACCTGGCATTTGCGGTGGTCTGCGGGGTGGACCCAGCCTGCCTTCCCAGACCCGCCTCCCCCACGCCCCACCGTGGGCTCTGGACTCCAGCCACAACTCACGATGCCCAGTCCCCCGTTTCAGAAAGCCTCTGTGCCTTTGCACATGCAGTTTCCCCAACCTTATGCTCATTGCACTTTTACTCATCCTTCAAGGGTCTGCACCAGTACTGGGGTGGGGATGGGGGGGGGGCTGGTGGAGATTGGGGTGGCTTCAAACACATCACCTATGCGGTGGGAGAGCTAGGGTGATGGGTTAGGTGGGGGGGCTTTTAATTTGAGGAGTGGGGGTGGGGCATGTGGAAGTCCGGGATCCTGGCAACTCTGCCAAACGGAGGAGGAGGAACGCGCCCCTGCCCCAAGGGGGTGGGTGGTTCAAGACGCCATCCCCAGTCAGCTCTTTGTCCCCCCCTCCCAGGCATCTCCCTGATCATGTGGAATGCTCTCTACACGGCTGAGAAAGTTATCATCCGATGGACCCTGCTCACCGAAGCCTGTTACTTTGGGGTCCAGTTCTTGGGTGAGTCCTGAGGTGGCCCGGGGACAGGTAGGCTAGGGGTGGGGACAGGGCTGCTTGGACCCTGGCTTTCCAGCTCTTGCTGCCTGGTCTCCAGGAAGTGGTGAAAATCCGTCTGAGGGGGAGGCCCTCACGTGGCCCTGTCTACCTGTATGTCTGCGCACCTGTGCTCATCACACCCCCACACACCTGTCTCCTCTTGAATACGGTGCACGCAGACCCACACGTATGTGTGCACCTGCAGCCTCCTGTACCCATCGTTCACGTGTGCCCCCAGCGCGGGGGTGACAGCACACATGCTCGCCCTTGTCCCCGGTACCTGCCATGTGGGGGGACGTCACCACAAACATGTCCATGATCTCCCAGCTCAGCACGTCATCCCTTTTTTTTTTAAATTTATGTATGTATTTTGAGGGAGAAAGAGAGAGAGAGTGCGGGAGGGGCGGAGAGAGAGGGAGAGATGGAGAATCCCAAGGAGGCTCCGCACTGTCAGTGCAGAGCCCGATGCGGGGCTCGAACTCACGAACAGTGAGATCACGACCTGAGCTGAAACCAAGAGTCAGACGCTTAACTGGCGGAGCTGCCCCGGGCACCCGTCCGTGTGTCGGCCTGTGTGGAGAGTGAGGCACAACCCTCCTCTGACACCTGTCCCTTCCCGGTCTTTGTCCCGCAGTCATCACGGCCACACTCGCCGAGACGGGCCTCGTGTCCCTGGGGATTCTGCTGCTCTTGGCCAGCCGCCTCCTTTTCGTCGTCATCAGCGTTTACTACTATTACCAAGTCGGCCGAAAACCCAAGAAGGTCTAGCCACTCGCTGGGCCGGGGAGGCCCCGGGGCCTTGGTTTCCCTCTGGCTCCTGGAAGACAGGAAGGACCGGGCCCTGTGCCAGGCCTGCCGCAGGCAGGCGGGGCTGATGGCCTTCCTTTCCTCCTGGGCACCCCCGAATGCTGTGACCCCCCCCCCGGGCTTTCAGGTCTGGGGAGGGACAGGCCTCTCGCACCCGTGTCCTTCGCCCCACGCAGTGACGCCTCCTTTTCTTGGGTCTCTTGGTCTCCGGATTCCCTGGACAGATACTGACTGAAGAGCTTGACTCAGGGGGGATTGGGCTAAGGTGAGGTTCCTGCCCCTTCTGCCAGGAGGCCCTCTTTGGTTTAAGAGGGGCTGAGCACTGTCTCCCCGCCCTCCCCACACCCCCAGCCAATCTGGTGCCCACGCAGTTGAAGGTGGCCTCCCCTTAGGCCTGGAAAAATCGAGAATCTGACCCTGTGCCCAATCCTCCCCACCTGCGGGGCTGCCCTCTGCCCCTAACACACACGCCTGCCCCCCCGCACCCCCCGCAGCCCAGGTGCCGCTGACACGCAGGGCTGGCCGTCTTTGAGCTGGCACCTCCCTTTCAGCCTCTCTGGGAAGCGGGCCGCCTGGAGCCAGAGCCCGGTCCCCGGCCCCAAGCCCCCATTCCCCCACTGGCCGGGGTCCCGAGGCTGCCAGCAGCCCCGCCCCCAGGCCGGCCCGGACAGCGGACTCGGAGAGGAGTGGAGCCCCTGGGATGGGGTTTAGAGGTGAGGAAGAACGAAGTGGTGGCATTTCCTTGTCCCTTGGATTGTCCCTCGGGGTCTGCCCGGCTCAGTCCCCTCACACACCTCCCCCTCCCCCCAGGGTGCTGCCTGCAGGGTAGGGCTGGGTGCCCTTCAGACTCAGCATCGGAAACAAATATTTCAGCAGGCCACTCCTCTAACATTGTCCCCTCCCCCCCGCCAAAGTGCCCCGGAGGAGGCTAACAAGCGGTTCCCTCGGAGCTGAAGACCCCCCGCCCCTTCCTGTGCGCCCCCCTTCAGCCCTCATCCTCGAGGCCCTCCTCCCCTCTAGGCCACAGTGTGCACTGGCCCTCGCAGCCTGGGGACAGGTGTAGGGAAAGGCCGCCTGGGCCCCAGATGTGCGTCTCATCTTGGGGTGTCAGGTGCAGCCCTGCTCCAGCCGCTGCCAGGTGGCCTTCTGCCTGGGAGCCCTGCCCCACCCCACATCCCCAGGCCCACCTGTCCCCGCAGACCCGCTGTCCCCGCTCCTGTCCCACGGCAGCGGCAGAGAGGGCCCCGGTCGCTAAGGAGAGGCTGCTCTTTCCTGAGCTGCACCCCTTGCCCCTGTTGCTTGTGCGTCTCCCCAGAGCCAGCTGCTCGCTGACAAGCCCTGGCCACACAGGGTGCCTGCCACCGCCTCGGAGAGTCAGGTCCGTGGGCAGTGCCCGCAGGCCCCGGTCACGGCCTCCATCAGACCCAGGGCCTCGCTGATCCTTTGGCGGGTGACAGGTGGATTGTCCTAGTCACCATGGGGATGCTGGACCAATGGTGGATCAATACCCCCCCCATCCTCGGGGGTGGGGGGCACAGTCAGGGGAGTAGAAAGTTCAGGCTTTGTGGTCTGGGTGAGGCACCTGCTGGGCTGGCCAGGCTGGGGTGGGGGCGGGGCGGGCGGGGGCCTGGCCTTGTCCCTTGGGCGGTAATGAGGGCCTGCTGGGATGGTGCGGTCATGAACTTCTGTGCCGCCTGCTTGGACCTCAGAGCTAGGCCCGGAGGGGCCTAGCAGAGCCTGGCAGACATGTGGCCGGGGGG